CCAGCCCTCCTGGCCTTGGACAGTGCAATCCCTGCACAAACTCACCATACCCCTCCCGCCATAATCACAGACCCCTACCCAGGCAAGCACCCTCATACATCCTTCCTTCCCTGCCAGAGTCTCATTCATGGCCTGGAGCGGATCTGCAGTCCCCTGCTGGGTCGCGCTGCTTCAGGCTCTGGGGAAAGCTGTGGGCCTGGACGCCTAGCTTTCCAAGGCAGTCAACGGGTCACTCTGGCCTTGTGGGCACCTCATGTGCAGTCGGGAGGGGAGGAGAGAAGGAGAGACATCGAGGGCTCAGGGAGTCCTGGGGTACACAGAGGCCCTGTCGCCCGCAGAGGCATGGACACAGACACACATGGACAGAGAAAGAGACCCTCAGAAGACCAGGGACTCAGAGACCGCTAATAGCGTGCCTAGGCTCAGGCAGACACTCGGGGCCTCACGCAGACACAGGTTCGAGCTTGGACACCCCTAGAAGCGTCCCCTGCTCCCCCATCACCGCAGCACGCCCGCTCCCAGAAGTGAGTCTGTGCTTCCGCAGTCGTGGCGTCCTCCTGGGCTCTGCGCAGCGGGCGCCGAGGGTGGGGCGGTTTGGAAGCAGTAGGGTCCGCTTTGGGGCACTGGGAAGCCGAACCCGGCTTAAGCAAAAGCAAGTCTTCACATTTTCTCAACATCTGGGGAGTCAGTTGGGAGCTATTTTCACCCTTTTCTGAGCCCGCACCCTCTTCCCACGAACGAGAATCAAATCAACAGGCTCCGACAGGCTCCGCGGCTCGCTCTGGTCGCTGCGGCCACGTAGTGCTCTGGCCTGGGGGGGCTTGCGTATGTTGTGATCGCAAACAGGCTCCCCACCACGTAGTCCCGGGGCTGGTGGGGCTGAGAGGGACCGCGGCCAAACGTAACTGGAGAGGGAGATGGAAATTCGCACCTTCGAACTTTCCCCCGCCGAGGTGCAGGGGTACCGCACAGGCGCCCGACCCCTGCGCCTTGGGCTGGGGCAGGCGGATTGCGGGGGTAAAGGTGCACGCGCTGGAGCCCTGTCATTTCTGTGCGTGCAGAGGGTTCAGTTCTTCCCCGAAATCTAACAAGCAGTCCTGCTCCTGTATGTGAGGAACCCAGTTGCCTCACACCATCGGAGCCTCCCGTCTTCCACCCTGGTCAAAGGAATAGACGGCTCCCGAGCGTGCAAAAGCAGGGTGGAGGAAGGGGTGGGAAAACGGACTCGCTGGGGCCGCGGGGCAAGACACAAATAACCGTCTCCCTCCGGAGCTGCGGCCTTGGTGGGCAGGCAAGGGAGGTTGGCGCGGGACCAGTAGCTTTCCCTGAGGCTGGCCAGTTTTGTGAATACAATTCAAGAAGAGTGTGCTGGTGCGGTGCCCCCCTCGCCCAGCTGAGGCCGCGCTTTGCAGCGTGGCTGCGCCGAAGGGTGAGCCCCAGCCCTAGCCAGTCCAATACCCAGAAGGCCCATGTGATCGCTCTGCGTCGCGGCTTGGGACATACCTGCCTCTAGCCCAGCGCGGCTTTTCGCCGGTTTCGTGACCTACTTAATTATATTCGTATAACCACCTGTGGGCTCCATTTCCCCCGAGCCACCGAGAACAGCAAATCTACAGGAGCCATAAGAAGGGGAGGGAGATATGGCTTGGACACCACTGATACCAACAGATGGTCCGCGATAAATACTCAACAAATTCTCTCTGGGTATCCGAATACTTTGGAATGGAAAGCCCAAGCAGGCACTCCCGGAAGCTTCCTCCCAATCGTTTCTGGGCTGGTGGAGGGAGGTGGCCAGGCAGTGAGGCGAATGAGGGAGGTGGGCCGGGATGATCAGTGGATTGTAACCAAACCCTGCAGATCCTGTTGCCTCACGCTCCTTAAAGGCTGCAGACATGAGTGCAGGGCCCAGGCTTCTGGGAAAGTGCTCAGATTTTCAAGGAGCGGGCGACAGACTCGGCCGGTCGCAGACACAATTCGAAGACAAGGGATTGAACTTGGAGGCGGAGAAATAGGAGAAGCAAAGAAAAAGAATCCCGAACGCAGGGGTCGTCCTTCTCCCAGCCCCCAATGCACCATCCCCTGGCATTGTTTAAAACAAATTGGTCCAAAACCTTGGAAGGAGAGACTTCCAGAAAACTCCCCTTCCAAGGCCAGAATGTAGCTGGGTCAGGGGCTAAGTAGGATTATTTGAATAAATAGACAGGTCTTGAGCTGGGAGTCTGGACACCTCACTGAGGCCCTTTCAAAAGCTGGGTAAGTCACATGATCTCCTAGGCCTCAGTTTCACAGCCCTGTAAAAGTGTGTGGGGGTGGGGGTGGAGGATCTGGATGGTTCCTCCTGCCTCTTCCCACCCTGCAGAACAGGAGCTGGGAGTCCTGTACCCCCTTTCCTCAACCTGGGTCTCAAGAGCAGCAAGTAAGTGAGCAGCAGAGCCAGGCAAAGGCTGGGGGCTGCAGCTGCTCCATAGATCATCTGGCCTGGAGCATGAGACCTAGGGTATTTGTATCTCAGCCAGTCTTACCCTGAAGCTGGGCAAGGGACTGGAGCCTGGGGCGATCAAGAGAGCTCTAGTAAGGAAGAAAGCTACTGGTTCACACTTGCCTTTTTAGAAATGAAGACATCCAGAAAGGGAGATTGGTAGGATGAAACCAATGGTGTTTTTCTCTTCATTTATTCAGACACTAGCAGAGTTGGTGTGTGGCCAATAGTGTGGGATGTCTGTGAGTGGGTGGGGGTGGGGTCCTTTTAGTGTGAAAGAGATCTCCTTGCAGGAAAGCACAAGCTTAGGGTATATGTAGGGCTGTCAGAAAAAACAAATGTGCTAAATCTAGGAACCCCCGGTATGTGAGTTTATCTGGATTCATGCAAGAAACTTCTCTCCAGGGCCTCCCCCACTTTTTTTTTTAACCCCCTGGAGGGCTCTATCACTTGGGAAACTCCAGTTCCTAGCACTTACCTACAAGGGGCCTACTTCAGCCCAGTATGGCTAATGCAGTATGGTGGTGTCTGGACAAGGTGGTTAACAGAGACTGAGACAAATGGATACGGAGACAGGAAACAGTCAGAGTACACCATCCCCAACCTCTTTCTTTCTCTGAGAGAACATAGCCCCCGGAGCCCCCAAAGTGCTCTCAACACCCTCTTCGTAAGTATGCCAGAGAAATATGGCTAGTTTTACATCCTAGACCTCAGGATAATCTCATTTTTACAGAGGAGGAAACAGAGGAACAGAGAGGGTAAGAAACTTGCCCAAGGTGACAGAGCTGGTAAATAGTGAAGCCAGGATTTGAACCACAGCACCCTGACTCCAGGATTCCTGCTCTGAATTCCTATGCAGATCAAGAAGCTGCGCCTAGGAAGGGGAAGAAACCTGCTGACAAGGTCTGTGACAGCGGCAGCGCAGCTGGGTCTCATGCTTCGCAGGCCCGAGCTCTGACCACTGCACGGCGCTGTAGGGGAAGCCGCAGCGCCATCCGCTCAGTTCTTGCCTGCGTCGATCGCCCACCTTCCCTTCCATTCCCCAGCGGTTCAGATGGGCCCAGTCTGAGTTGGAGGTGCTCCTTGCTGGGTTCCTGGAGGGAGCGGGAAGGTTGAGAAGAAAGAGGGCACAAGACCAACCTCCTGTGCAAAGGATCCTGAGAGATAAAAGCAACCCCGGCCCCTGGCTGAGGTCAGGGTTCCTTAAGGGAGGTCTCTGTGGGGGTCCTGCTGCCTGTCTGTAGGGCCTACAGGTCCGGCCAGAAAGGCAGGGGGCAACCCAGCAATGCCACTGGCCGGGGAGAAGGGGATATTGAGTGAGGGACCCCAGACTCACGAACAGTTCAATCCCGACAGATGCAGAGTTTCCACAAGAAACGGAGACAGATTCACCGAGAGCGAGACTCAGTCACAGAGACTGAGACAAATGGATACGGAGACAGAAAAAGGTCAGAGTACAGGCGGCTTAGAGCGACTGAACGGTCCGCGCCCCGGGAATGCGGCCGCAGCGCGACCAAGAAACCCGGGGGCGGGCTGGACTGACAAACGGCTCGCTCCTGGGCCGGGGTCTTCCTGCGCACATTTCAGCGTCTGGAGTCCCGCGGCGCGGCGGGGCGAGGCGAGGCGAGGGTATGGGTGCGGGACCCCAGCCTGGGAGAAGAAGAGAGGGCGCAGCCGGAATCTCACCTCTACGAAGTCGGCAGCTGCGAATGCCAAGTTTCCTCCTCGCGATCACTCAAGTCCGTCTCCACCTTGGGCCGGAAGCCGCTCGGGCTCGGGTGGGCCCCGCTCCGGCGGCGTTGGTTTGGCGGTCTCAGGATCTCTTTCGCGTTCCAACTGCGCTTCGGCCTTGGTGGCCTGGGCGCCGCCTTGGGGAGACGATGGGTGGGGGCTGTCGCCACTTCTCTCGGCTCCGGCTAGTGTCCGCATAAGCCTGGACATCCAGGGGCTGAGCAAACTGTAGGCAGCGGCTCCATGGGGCAGAGGTTTGCGGGAGTTGCCGGGAAAAGGGGGACCCGCCTCTGGCCATCCGAGCCGAGCTCCCGCCGCGGCGGCGGTTTGTTCCCGCCGGGCCCTCCACCGAGGCCCTCTGCTCGCCCCTCCCGCCCCGCCCCACCCCGCCCAGGGAGCTCCGCCCCGGGCCCTTGCTCTTCCGTCTTAGGCAGACGCTAGGCGGGAGGGGGCTAATCCCCCGACTCCTCCCGGGCCCGAGGGCCCGGGCCCGCCAAGGTAAGGGGAGGACTCAGCTCCTTCCGCCTGGGCCCTGGGTGCAGGCCCCAGCTTCGACTCCCGGGGCAGCAGGAGAGAGCCTCCAGTCAAGTGCGCAGCGGGAGGTGAGACCGGCCGAGTTGGGCCACCAGGGGTCGCTGCAGAGCTGGGGGATACCCCTCCCTGTCCGCCTCAGTCCCCCGCCTCCTCCCCGCCCGCGCGCAAAACACACTCGCCCTAGAGGCAGCGCGGCGGAGCCGGAGCCGCGGCCGGAGCCGAGCCGGAGAGCGGCGGCGGCGGCGGCGGCGGCACCATGACCCTGGGCAGCTGCTGCTGCGAGATCATGTCCTCCGAGAGCTCCCCGGCCGCGCTGTCCGAGGCGGACGCAGACATAGACGTGGTGGGCGGCGGCGGCAGCGGTGGGGGGGAGCTCCTAGCCCGCTCCGGGCCCCGCGCCCCCCGGGACGTGCTCCCCCACGGCCCCGAGCTTCCCCCGGAGGAAGCAGAGGCAGACGCAGCTGAGGACGAGGAGGAATCGGGCGGCTGCTCCGACGGCGAGCCCCGCGCTCTAGCGCCCCGGGGGACGGCGGCCGCAGCGGGAAGCCCAGGGCCGGGCGTGGCGGCAGCCCGGGGTGCGGCGGGGCCCGGACCCGGACCGCCGTCGGGGGGCGCGGCGACGCGAAGCCCTCTGGTGAAGCCGCCCTACTCGTATATCGCGCTCATCACCATGGCCATCCTGCAGATCCCCAAGAAGCGCCTGACGCTGAGCGAGATCTGCGAGTTCATCAGCGGCCGCTTCCCCTACTACCGGGAGAAGTTCCCCGCCTGGCAGAACAGCATCCGCCACAACCTCTCGCTCAACGACTGCTTCGTCAAGATTCCCCGAGAGCCGGGCAACCCTGGCAAGGGCAACTACTGGACGCTGGACCCAGAGTCGGCCGACATGTTCGACAACGGCAGCTTCCTGCGGCGCCGCAAGCGCTTCAAGCGGCAGCAGTTGCCGCCGCCGCATCCACACCCGCACCCGCATCCGGAGCTGCTGCTGCGTGGCGGGGCCGCCGCGGCTGGGGACCCCGGCGCCTTCCTGCCCGGCTTTGCCGCTTACGGCGCCTACGGCTACGGCTATGGGCTGGCGCTCCCGGCCTACAGTGCACCCCCTCCGGGCCCAGCCCCGCATCCGCATCCACATCCGCACGCCTTCGCTTTCGCCGCCGCAGCCACCGCCGCGCCTTGCCAGCTGTCGGTGCCCCCTGGCCGCACTGCTGCGCCTCCACCTGGACCCCCGACGGCCTCAGTGTTCGCCGGCGCAGCCTCGGCTCCGGCCCCTGCGCCAGCTCCAGGCACCGGGTCGGGCCCAGGCCCCGCAGGCCTTCCTGCCTTCCTGGGCGCGGAGCTAGGCTGCGCCAAAGCCTTCTATCCCGCGTCACTGAGCCCTCCCGCAGCCGGTACCGCGGCCGGTCTGTCCACCGCACTCCTGCGCCAGGGCCTCAAGACGGACGTGGGCAGTGGTGCGGGCGGCGGGGGCTCTGGGGCAGGGCAGAGGCCTTCCTTCTCTATAGACCATATTATGGGCCACGGTGGCGGCGGGGCAGCACCCCCGGGAGGCAGCGAGGGTTCCCCGGGATCGCCGTTCGCTGCGGCCGCGGGTCCTGGGGGTCAAGCCCAGGTTTTGGCCATGCTGACTGCCCCGGCCCTGGCTCCAGTGGCCGGCCACATTCGCCTCTCGCACCCTGGGGACGCGCTCCTGTCCTCAGGGCCCCCGTTTGCCGGCAAAGTCGCCGGCCTCAGTGGCTGCCACTTCTGACTGAGGCGGGCTCAGGGCCAGTTAGGCCCGCACTCCTCAGCCTCTCCCGGGAGCTCCTGCAGTCCCAGCGGAACTCAGGGAGTCTATTTATGAAGAGTCTCCAAACATTGGGCCGGCGCGCGTGACTTGGCACTTCGGGCTTCAAGCTCAGAATCTCGCAGATAGTTGGGACGAAGCGGGTTCCATTGCTCAGAGAGAGGCCCAGGTCTAAGCAACGATCCCGTTCCAGTTCGAGCAGTAAAAGGGTGGGTGGGTGGGAGTTTTCGCTTTTTCCCAGCCTCTGAGCCTCTCGGCAGCCCCGGAAGAATGCTTTCTCTGAGAAATGCCGCCCTGGCCCAACGGATCACGCCAGAAACACCTACTGCGCTGAGAGGTTTCCCTTTCTGCTTCTCCCTTACTACTTCTCCAACTTGAAGGCCCTGCTTGTCCAATATTATAATTTAAAGAGACCTATTATTCACATTATGCTAAAAAAGAAAGGCCCCCCCCACTTTTTTCTGTTCTATAAGGAAGTTCGTTCCCTCTGAAGCCTAAAGCTGTATCTACGCTGGCAGAGCTAAATGGAGGGGGTGTCACCACAATCCCTGAGGAAACCTCCACCCCCCTCCACTGAGGAAAAACCTTTCTCTTTTTTTGTGTTTGGGTGCTTTTAAACGAACTTTCCGTCTTTCCCGCGGCCGGCTGGGTCCAGCCACCCAGAGCAGCAGCCTTGTCAGCGTTCTGCTCTGCCCCAGGCCCTGTGATATTTATTGTACCTAAAGACAATGAGGTTGGGATGGGAGAGGAGGGTCTGGGTCAGGGACTGGAGAGGTGGGAGGATAGACAAGGGCAGTCCTGTGGCAGGAGGTCCTGTAATTATGTATAAATATCTGTAAAGCGGGCTGCTATCTGCATTCTTGTCCACTGGGTGTGCATTGATTTAGACTTCTCCACTGAGGGGAAACTCTGTGAAATCCTGATGGTTTGTGTGGAAGAAAAGAAAAATCTGTTTTCCCCCACTCCCCACTGGTGTCAATTGAATAAATGTATGTGAACTTCAGCAGTCACCAGCTCTGTCTGCTTGCCTGCATGCCCTTGTACCCTGTCAAGGCTGTCCCAGAAGTTCTCCAGCCCTGGGCAGCCAAGGAGTGAGGAAGGGCCCCTGGGTAGTCCAGGCAGGCAAAAAGCCAGGTTTGGGCTTATCAAATACAGGGGCACTGAGGTTTCAAACTGTTAATGGAGCCAGGATTCTGGGAAGCCTGTGACCCCCCTCGAGCACTTTCGTTTTCGCTCTGGTCTTAGGAAGGTTTCTGCCTGGAGTTGGGCAGAAGGGTCTTGTTTCAAATGCACGTGGGGAGTCTCATCTCTTAGTTGAGACTTTAGTGGGGGCTTGGGCAGATCTGGGTGCCCAGTGTTCGTGGAGACTATACCCTTTAAGTATAATTTGAGGTGAATGTGTCTTTTGATGCATATTTTGTATGCCTCTGTGTGTATCTGTGTGTGGGGACTTTTATGGAGCTTGTGACTTGTGTTTGTCTGGGTCGCCATGTGTCTTTGCTTTTTCTGTATGAATTGTATTTCTGGAGATGGATTTTTATTGCTATATGTGTCTGTGAGTGTGTGTCTGTGTGTGTGCTTGTGATTCCCTGTCACTGTATCTGTATCTGTAAAAGGAGAAAGGATCGTGTTTGGCCACTGTAGGGTCTTCTTTGGCACACCCTCCCCTCCCCACACATGGAACAGTCAATGTGAAGGGCTTGAATTGAGGACTGGGAAACCCTTCTCTCCTCTAGTCCAAGAGAGTTAGAGTTGCACTGTGAGCTCAAGGAGAGAGTGGCTCTCACTCTGTTAGGTTAATCCTCTCCACCCCTTGAGCCTTGCTCACCGCCAGAATCTGCTGCCTGAGTGTAAATCCATTGGGCTGGTTGGAGTCCTCCATAAGTCTGCTGAGCCTCCTAGCTCCCTGCTTGTGCCTGAGTTTCCCAGTGGCCAGACTCGCACACGGGTTGGGTAAGAAGTGATGCTATGGGTGAAGCAAAGATGTTTGCCCAGCTCTTTTCACTGTGCATTCAACTGAAATCAGAGGAAAGAAGGAGACATATGGAGGTGTAGGAAGTGGCAGTTCAGCCTTTGCAGAAAATAGACACACGCTGAGGGCAAGGGTGGGGGGCAAAGTGACAGTGAGACAGAGAAGGAAGAAGACAGAGATTCAGATGCAGAGAGCTTGAGAGGAGTGGGCAGAGAGAAACCACCTGGGCCTTTTCAGCTAGGATCCCAGGTGCTAGCAACAGTAGGAAGGGAGGAAGAGGTAGAAGAGAGAGGCCCCCATAGGGAGGAGGTCAGAGTCAGGATTAGGGTGGGAAGAGCACACCAGAGCTGTGAAAGAATTGTTGGGACTCCTGAGTCCCCCACCCCTTCACCAATGAAGGAGAGCTAAGGCTCAAGGTGCAAATGGTAACTGCAGTCCCTCTGCCAGAGGTAAGGTGCCCTCTCCTCCATCTTGTTGAGAGACTGTGGGAGTGGAGGAAGGTCGAATGCAATAGACCACCTTCCTACCGTTTTAGCAAATGGCCCAGGATGAGTAAGGGTAGGTTAGTTGGTACAAAGGGGAAATATCTGCCGATACTAGGATAATGGTCTCTGGCTGGCTGCTTCCTTGACTCTCGCTGTTCTGAGTTTGATTTCTTTTTACACAAGGAAGTGCGACTGTGTGTTTGTCCTCAGTAAAGCACTTTGTAGCTACATGATCTCATTTACTGTCACTGCCAGATATTAGGTTGGAGCTTTGAGTAAAAGATTTGTCACTTAGTTTTACCTCTCTAGAAGATAGAAAACTAAGCCAGCCAGAACTCATAACGGATGGTGGATAGATAGATAAGGTACTTCCACCAACTGTTATAGGAGAAGCAGCAGATCCATTTTGGGTTCCTTAATGTGTCTCTGTGAAAGTGTGTGTGAGAGAGAGTTTATCTGAGCACATTGCATAGTGTGGTATCTATTTAGGTGTGTGTTCAAGGGCGCATATCAGGAAGAGTAGAAATAAGAGGACTGGGGAAGAATGAGATGTGCCCTTCCAAGGGCTTCTAGGGAGCTTGGGGCCCCAGACCCATGACCCAGACCTCAATTTCCCAATGTGATTCAGACCTGGGCCAGATACAATCATGGCTGAGGACTGGGTGCCAGAGAAGGCACTGATGCCCAACTGGCCTTGAAAAATACGAAGAAACAGAATTGCTGGAGGCTCCAGATGCTGAAGGCAGGGGAGAAGGGATGGTGTTTGTAATTCTGGACTCCTTTAGGCTGTATGTGGGGGGAACCCGTTCCCTCGGGATTAGAGGGAAGGGCAAGGGTCAGGATGAGGGAGTTGTGAAATGTGTCTGGTAGAGTCTGCCTGGCTTTTTTTTTTTCGCTTCAAGCCCCAGGGGCTCAGTCTGGTGGCTCCCTCCTACCTTGTGGGTGCACAGGGTGGGTGTTCAGCCTAAGGAGGCTCATTTAGGGGGCTAGACTTGTGGCGCGAGAAACAGAAGCCATCCTATCTCCGAAGCAGCTTCCGCGGGTTCGCTTGCTGCCTGGGTGGAGGCAGCTGAGCCTCTGCCCACCCCACAGCTCCCAACAATCGGTGACAATAATAAGAAAATATTCAGGGCACACCTTCATCTCTCGAGGTGAGAAAAAAAATGCTAAGAAATCGGCCTCGGGTTCAGAGAGTGCTGCCGAGAGCGGGCAGTTTAAAGGGGGAGAAAATTGGCGAATTTCACTGGTCAATTTGACTTCATTTCGTTCAATTTCATTCCTTTTCATCCGGCGCCGGGAGGCCCGAGCCACAAGAAGGGGGAGGGGGTCTTTCCGGGCAGATTTTCCCCCATCTTGCAGATTTACTTTCTAGGGCTTGAAGAACAGCCCTGATTCTCAAACTTGGAAATACGTTTTTCAGTAGCAGCTAAGGGCAGACATTTTATTTTATTGAGGGGGATTTTGTTGGGGTGATCGGGGCACATCGATGAGCCTCTCCCCACTTTTCTCTTGCAGCCCAATTAAAGCGGTTAATTCTTTTCACCGCCGATTCCTCCCCATCTTTCTTTCTCCTGGGGCTCCCCGGACCACCCAGAAGCTGGAGCTGAGGTGGGGGCAGACACTTCCCCTCCATATCCAATTTGTTCTCGCCACAGCCGGAGCGTCTTCGTGGTTACAAAGCGCTTTTCCCCTGATGACTTTTTCCCCCTTTTCAAAAACACTTCTCTCTACCCGCTTCAACTGGCAACCCTCCCCTCCTCCCTGCTCCGGTTTATTTAAACTTCGCCTCCTCCAGCGCCGCGGTAGCGCGCGCTTAATGAAGTTGAAGGCTCGGTGAGCCCGGGTGAAGAGGGTTTGGAATCTGTTGAAAGGGGAGTTTTGTGACACTGATTGGGATGGAAGCGGTCGCGGACCAGACAATGACCGACCAGGCGGGTTTTCCTCCGCAAAGGGTCAGGCTAATAAAGGCACCGACGCTGTTTAAACGAGGGACCCTGCAAAAGAAAGGGAGAAAAGATTTGAGTGTGGAGCGTGCCTCGTAAGATTTCAGGCTTAGGGGGAGGCGGGAGGAGGCAGCTTGCATAGGGTCTTTATCGACCGGATTCGTGGTTTAATTCGGACCATGCACATCTCGCCAAATAGAGAGAGGCGAGTTTGGGTTTGCGCCGAAATCATTCTGATACGTGGTTCGAAAGGTCGTCTCGGTTAGAGCTTGGAGATGCGTCTAGAAGGTCCAGCTAGGGTGACGAGCCTCAGTCCACATTTGTTCCTGGGTCTGGCGCTCTGAGATTTCTGGAGGAAGGTTGAAAGAGAGCTAAAGATGGGCAGGGGATAGACAGGATAATTCAGCCTCCTAAGCATTTTGTCTATCAGGGTATCTGAGAGCAAAAAAATGACGATTGGAGTTCTGAAGCAGATTTATTCTGTTGATTAAGGTCGGAATAGACACGTACCAACCGAGAAAGCTGTAGTGAGGACGGAGAGGACCCTGGCTCTGGTTTCAGGAA